TTGTTGAGACCCCTGAGGCCTGCAGGCAGGACCTCTCGGGGTGGTCGGCGCGATTGATGCCCGTTCAGCTCCTCGAGGCCGCCCGACGTTCATCTTTGGAGACGACTCTTTTGGGGGAATTCTCCGCGAGCCCTGGAAGATGAAGATGCGGCTCGGCGATCGCGGTGATACGCCAGGGCCCCCCGTCGCCCGGCCTCTGGGCCCCGCGGCGCTGAGCTCCAGGCCGTCTGCTGCCCTCTAGAGATTTCGATTGGGCCGCTGTGTCATGTTACCGGTTGTAAGCGTCTTGTCAGCGAGTGGCATGCTGGCCGCGCCAAGTTTCTGCTGGCCCCAACGGTGATATCCAGGGGCGTGCCTCGCGGGCCCTGGAGGCTCGGGGCCTCGTGGGGGGGGGGTTCTCTGCTCTGGGCGGGGCCTCTTGCAGACAGGGTGATTCGCCGTCGGCAACCGCCGATGTTGATGTCTCGCTGCGCCGAGGGAGCGCCGGCGCAGACGTCTTGGCGGAGGTCGCGCCCCAGAAGGCTCGGGGCCGGCGCGCCTCGCCCTCCCCCGCCCGCCCCCCCGCGACCGATCTGCGGGGCGCGGCGGCGGCCACGGCGGGGCGCAGAGCAAGGCGCGCTTCGCCGATGGCGCTGGAGGTCGAACCTCGGGTCGGAGGGCGAGCTCCCGCCGTCGAGCAGCCGCGCAACAGTGAGTTCTGCTCAGCCTTAGGGCTCAGGCAGCACAGGCTCCTTCCTCTCGCTGGACGTCGGCGCTGCGAGCGGCGCCCTGCGACCCTCCCCCGGCGCAAGGTTTGACAGGCCGCCTCGACCCCGTGCCCCGATCCAGAGCCCGTCCGCCGGTGGCGCTGGTCTCGGCTGCAGCTCGGGAGCTGCCTCCTGAGCATGGCGAGGGTTTCGAGGCGGTCGCGGGGGAAGCGCGGGTCGGCTTGGCGAGGCCCCACCCGCCCCAATCCCTTTGCCAGGACAAGTTCGTTCGGAATCGGCTTCGCACGAGATGCGGCATCACTGCTGCTGGCGACGGCAAGAGGCATCTGGATGACTGCGCCACTCCCACCCAGAGAAGGGGGGGCAACTTGGAGCAAAGTCAGCGAGGCCTCTTCCCCCTCGCAATCGGGGGCCGCCGAGGTCTCCCGCGGCGGCCCAGGCGCGCGATGCCGTGGAACGTGCGATCCAGGCTTCCCCCGACGATGGTGCTCGGAGTCGGTGTGTGGCCCTGCGCGTCTCGAGTCCTGCCTGCGAGTATCACCAGCCTGGAACATCTCCCTATCCCTATGCTGGGCATCTCCTCATCACGATGCCAATCTTAGGTAGTCCCTTTTTTTTTGAGGGCGCATCCCTTAAGATTGTCATCGCCTTTTGGCGTGTCAATCTTAGGGGTAGGGATAAGTTCGAGGCTGGTAAGAGCATCTGCGGACCTCGGCCGATCGCCACCCGCGCGCCGTGGCCGAGCTGATGTCGCGCAGCGAGGCCCCACCGACGACGCCGCCTGCTGCCTCCGCTGCCGCCGCCGCCGCCCTGCGCTCGCGCGCGGGCCGCGCGGCCAGGGTCGGGCCGGAGGAGCGCAGCAAGGGCAGCAGCAGCAGCAGCAGGATGCGCGCACGCCCGTGGACGGCGGCGACAGTGATTGAAGGGGCACGTGAGTGGCAAGGCAGCAGAATCCAGCACAATGTTTCTCCTCCCCGTCCTCCTCCTCCTCCTCCTCCTCCTCCTCCCCCTCCTCCTAGGTGGCTCCGCAGCGAGGCGCCCGCGCAGCCGTCTTGCCCGCGGCGGCGCGCGCGGCCAGGCCCGCGCGATAGCAGAGCCCCCAGCGCCGCAGGGGCGCGAGGAGGCCAGGAGGAGGACGAGGCGAGAGCGCTCTCCTGCCTGGCACAGGCGAGCGCGCAGAGAGCGCGCAGACGCTCGGCTGGCGCTCCGCGCCCGCCGCTTCCAGGAGGCCCTGAGGTCACACCACGGCAGCTGCCCACCAGCTATGGGCCGCCAGGAATACGTGGTCTGCAAGAGCTGCGGGGAGTGGTGGTGGACCTCTCGCCTGGAAGGGCTCCAGTTCCGCTGCGCCACATGCAAGTCGGCGCTGCCGCGGCCCAAAGGTCCCAAGAAGCCACAGGAGACGGCAGAGAGGGCCGGCGGGGCGGAGCGCCGAGAGGCCGCAGCTGGAGGGCGCAGAGCAGCAGGCAGCAGCAGCAGCAGCAGCAAAGGACACGGCACGAGCCAGGGACCAGAGCAGCTGGCGAAAGCGCTGTCGCTCATCACGACCACCCTCTCCAGCATGCAGTTGAAGGGCGGTGAGCAGATCACTCAGCAGCTGAAGGGAGCCGCGACAGCCCTGCAGGCCGCCAAGCCAGTGGAGCAGCCAAAGCCGAGGGCGGCGCGCATGGCGGCAGCGGCGAGAGCATTGCAGCAGGCGCAGCAGCAGTACCAGGACGCCTTCGCTGCGAAGCAGAAGGCCGAGGAGGCGGCCCAGCGGGCGCGCGAGGCCCTGGAGGGGCGCGCGGCGGCGGTCTTGCAGGCAGAGGCAGCATGCGAGGCCATCCATC